TTCGCAATGAAAATTAAAAAAGTTGGTATGCCATTATTTAGAACACTTACAGTTATCATTATTTCAGAAAAAAAACAATTAAAAAAAAGATATATACTAAAGTTTTTAGGAAACAAAATTTAAATTTTCACGGAAAAAAGTCTGCATACATTTACGTACTTGCATGTTCTGTGCGCACTCACACATGCAAGCGCTTTCTACTATATCTTCAGGGCGTACATACATATATCTTCGATTCCACAAACCTCTGCATATGACCATTGAAATTTATGGGCTTATTAATCTTAGAATTGATATTGTCTTTGGTTAATAGTCTTATGACATTAGAGTTTGCTAAAGGGTATCTTAGATACATATGTCTTCGTTAAAATCGTTAAAAGAACCAAGCCACAAAAAACGAGGGGGAACGTTGTGAGTTGCTGCGGACACCGCAACTCTACGGTTATACCCGATACTAAGGCAGTATGGCTCTCCTCCGGCAGACGCCGCTAATATTTAACGACACGACAAAGAGTGCGTGCGAGAGAGACAGAAAATCAGTCTGAGCGTGACGTCGGGCGCTGCGTAGCCAATGCAAATTGATTTGTTCCTTTTGGCTACAAAAATTATCTGATCTGATCCAGATTCAGCAATCTGATAGATATGGTCATTATCTATGATTCTGCGTTTTTAGTTTTCTCAAATCTGCAATATTGTGGATGCAACAGATTTTCGTCCTTTGTGGGGGCGGATGGGGGTGGGGCGAAATTCTGAGATATACGTTTTATAGTGACATCTTAAAGGAGTGTGTGTACCAAATTTGGTTACTCTAGCCTTAATAGTCTCTGAGATTTGTGGTTGCCTCAGATTTTCGTCCTTTTCGGGGGCGGAAGGGGGTGTGGCGAAATTTGGACAGGAAACGGTCAAGGTCCGATATCACAGGAGTGTGGATACCAAATTTGGTTGCTCTGGCTTTTATAGGTTCTGAGATCCTTGAACTCATATTTTGCAATTGGCAAAACCGACCATGAAACCTGTGTGTTAGAGTGAGACAGAGCGAGAAAAAGTGAAATTGTTTTCGTGATTCTGGCTGTAATAATTATACGATCTGGTTCAGATTTTGCACTCTAGAAGATATAGTCATCTTCTACGATTCTGCGTTTTTAGTTTTCTCGTATCGTCGAAATTGTGGATGCCACAGATTTTCGCCCTTTATGGGGGCGGAAGTGGGCGGGGCAAAGTTTTGAAATATTTTTGGAGCAGTGACATATTACAGAAGTCTGGATCCAAAACATCGTTGCTCTAGCTCTTATAGTCTTTGAGCATTAGGCGCTGAAGGGGACGGACAGACGGACAGACGGACAGACGGACGGACGGACAGACAGACAGGGCTCAATCGACTCGGCTATTGATGCTGATCAAGAATATATATACTTTATAGGGTCGGAATCGATTCCTTCTGGACGTTACACACATCCACTTTTACCACAAATCTAATATACCCCAATACTCATTTTGAGTATCGGGTATAAAAAGCTGATTTGAAAGTAAAATTTTGGCGCGTAAAAATTATGCGTGAGGGGAAAAATAAAAATATGCATATTATCCTTAAAACAAGTACTTTAGATTTTAAAGTTTAGGCCAATCTTTTCATTTGATAGGATATTTTTGTGGACCACTGTGGCCATAAAGACACTTCTGGATATACGGGAAGAGCACATCGATGGTTTTCATGGTGTGAAGATGGGCTTTTTTTTCCATTTTCCAGTCGTTTTACATAGTGTCATAAAATATACAAATCAGCCTTCTTATAACGGAATAGCCTGGCTTTTGCAAGTACATATAAACGCTGCCTATTCTGCGTTATTGCGTTAATGCCGATATCGATAGCAAAAAAGCGCTCTGCCATCTGTGTAATTTGTAAAGAAAGTAAATCTAGATCTGAAGCATATTCCCTTCCTGCTGTGGGTTGCGTTCTATAATCACAAGTGCTCGCTTTTCTTTCCAGGCATGCCGGGCCGTCTTTGAGCCCTCCAATGCCAGCCAGGATCATGTGGACATTGAGTCCTCGTGCGGGGATCGCAACTTGGATGTGGTACAGTGCATTCACAACCACACGGACATGGCGCCGTTGGCCAACGCCGAACAATGTAAGAACAATCCAGTTATCCCAGCTATCCCGACGACACCGAAAATGAGTTCATCCTTCGAAAATCCCCCACAGATCTGCCGTGCTGTGAGTATAGCAACAAGGAGCACTGTCGCCACACCTGTCGGAACCTGCTCCATCAGAATGTGACCCAAATTGAGCGCAGCGAGGTGATTTTCACGCGACTGGAGGCGGCTGGCTGTGGCACGCCACTGCCACACTTGCCCTTCTGGCAGTGCTTTCTGACGGTGACTCGAAAGCTGTATGTTCCAGCTGGTGGAGGACTTCAGTCGCAGCGACGTCTGGGGGGCAAGGCAGCTGAGGCCGTGGGGGGGCCAAACCACCTGGGCATGGATGCAGCCAAGCGGCAGTGCTGCGAGCAGGCCAGCAGCCACAGGTGCCGGCGCCTGTGCACGCAGATCTTCACCAGCGACTGGTGGGAGACACGGGCCAGCTTCGACAGCGAGTGCCTGGAGCAGCCCGACGAGCGGGAGCTGCGGCGCTGCGTAGAGAGCGTGGATGCCCCGTGCGAGCAGGGCTGCGATGGCCTTAGCTTCTGTTCGAACTATAACAATCGCCCGACAGAGCTCTTCCGCAGCTGCACCCCAGCCCACGATGCAGCGGCCAGGGAGGATTTCCTGATGCTGCAGCAGCGCGGCTTTGTTCGGGTTCTCGGCCAGGAGCTTTTCATCAAGAACACTACCCGCTGTGCCCCGGACAAGTGGCAAGCTCTGGTGTGCGCCCTGCAACTGCAGCCCTGCACCAGGATGGGACTCTTCAACGGCATCTGCAGCGAGGACTGCAACGAGCTGCTTGAGGAGTGCCTAGACTGGACACGCCAACAGAAGCGGCCTCAGGCCATTTGCTCGCGACTCCAACCGCAATCCTCAGCGGAGGAGGATGAGGAACCGCTGCCATGCATTTCGCTACGGTCGTATCTGAAGAAAGGCAGTGCAGAGCCCCAGGACGCGGTTGGACACTATGGACTGACTTCGCCCTGCTCCAAAAAGCCGTGCAACGCCAGTGAGGTGTGTGTCCTGCAGAGGAGGGGCATCCAGGGCTACGCCTGCATTCCCGGCTGCAGTCTGGGCCAGGCCTCCAGCCTGATTGTGCCCTTTGGGGCGTACGTCCGCCTCAGCAAGAGCAGTATCCACACGAAGTCCGATGTGGGTCAGCTACTGACCGCCGAGCACATTGTCTGCAGCTGCGGGCTTCAGGGCCACCTAGAGCAGTGCCAGCCGCTGCCCAGCTACAGCCACGCCCACTGCACTCTACCCGGGGGGCGAAGCTTCCGGCATGGCTCATCGTTCTACCTGGAGTGCAATCTCTGCAGCTGCTTCGCCGGCGAGATCACGTGCACCAAGAAACAGTGTCGCCTGCCCGGCTTCACGGACTCCAGCTTCACCAGCCTTCCGTGCAATTGTGCGGCGCATTATGTGCCGGTGTGCGGCTCGAATGGCAACACCTATCCCTCGGCGTGCGTCGCCAAGTGCCACATGCCAGAGGGAAACTATGTGTACGGGGCATGCAATGCCCGTAATGCTTGTCAGGCGGCGGCTCCCAACAGCTGTCCCCAGGGAACCCAGTGCCTGGACAAGCGGAAGGTGTGCCTGGCCAGCATGCAGCGGCCCTGCCAGCAGTATGTCTGTGGTAAGCTCAAGTCAGATTCAGTTAGCGCCTAAGTCCGGACTAATTCTCCTTTTCCCTTTACAGTGAATGCCACCGCCTCGAACTGCTCGTCCTACCATCAGGGCGAGGTGTGTGACACCCAGGGACGCACTCACCCTAATGCCTGCGCTCTGCTGCGAGACAATCCCAGTGGCCAGGTGGCCTATTGGTCGGCCTGCCAGTCGAGTCGATCGGCACCGTCGCCCTCACCCGTCTGTGGCATCAATGGGGTGACCTATCGGAGCATTTACGCAGCCCGGGCCGAGTATGTGCTGACCGACTACGTGGGTCGCTGCCGGGAGGTGGGTTTGCTGGCCAGCGAAATGGGCAGACGATGTCGTACAGTCCAGTGCCCTGCTCCAGTGTCCAAAAACTGTCGATTGATTGTGCCGCCCGGAGCATGCTGTCCACTTTGTGCGGGCGGAGCCTTCAGGATTATCTACTCCCGGAAGCAGTTCGATCGAGCCATGTATGGGCTGAGAGCTCAGAGCAGCACATTGCTCACCCTGCATGGGGTGCTCCAGCAGCTCGATGGGCTGGTGCAGGTTAGCGAGTGCCAGCTGACGGGTTTCCTCACAATGGAAGTGGGCATATTTGTGGCTCTGGTGCCAAGCAGCACCATCAAGCGACCAACTCGGCTCCAACTGGAGGCGTGTGCGCGCGAGGCCGAGAAGATATCGTCGCTGATAAATGCCCAGTCCCCAAGGATCACCACCAACCTGGCCCTGTCCTGTCTGACTGTGTCGCATCTGCTGGAACCCACACCAAATGCGGCGAATTTGTATGGTTCTAGGACCCTATGGTTAATGCCCCTAATTTTTTTTGTAGGTCGTAGCTTAGTTGTAGGATAGCTTTACCTTTTTTGTTCTATTAGCTTTAGAAAGGGCGTGTAAGCGTGTGGTAAGCGTAAGGTGTGAACAATCAAGTGAATTCTTGGTGCCAATTAATCAATTAGTTCAAGGAGATGGAATGTGCCTTCAACTGTTAGGAATTGACCCTCTGTATCATGTGATATTAGCTTCATTAATTAATCTTTAAGCAAAAGGTCCCATTGATCATTTCTGGATAGAAGTTATGTATAATTTTTTGTATTTTTTTGCATTCGTTATCGACCAAAGCAGCGTCTGTCTATGAGCACAGCTAGTCCAATAAAAAAATCACTTATGGATGCCCCCAGACACCGCCTACAAAAGAGCGAATCAAATTGAAGCGTTGCTCCTCTTTTTATTGTACCACTCCACAGTTATAGAAAATGTATGAGAAAGTAAGGATAACTAATAACTCCCCTAGGACGTCTCCATGGGCACCACCTCGATACGTTCAGTGATGTTCATATCTGAGATGGTAGAGTGGAGAACGCGTGTGGCGCCAATATCAAAGCGGTAGTCCAACTGACGTTCACCTTTCTTATTGGCCAGCTCGTAGTTGCGCAGATATTCCACGCTGTCCTTGCGTATCACGCACAAATCAACGTTCGAGCCCGAGCCCAAATCGTTGAAAATACCGGCAGCGATTGCATCGCGTACGAGAAGCTTGGCTTCCTTCTCGGACATGTCGGGCTTCCAGCGGCTCTCGAATACAGACATGGCTGCTAGACTGCCGGACCCCATGGTGGCATAGGGCAGCTTGTCGGAGCTGCCATGAGGATGAATGCAATAGATGTGGGGTCCAGTTTTGTCCACGCCGCCCAGAACCAGGGCAGCGCTAATGTGACCCTGGTAACGGAAAAGCATTTGCTTGAGCATGGTGTTAGCGGCCACTACGCGCACATCGCGCTCGGTGCTGAGGCGGTGTAGCTCCAACTGGGACGAAATGATATCGGTGGTCCTTTCGGTGTCGGCTGCAGTTCCGGCACCACAACAGCTGAAATGCAGTCGTTTGTTAAAGCGCTTGCTTGTAAAACTCAGCACAAGCTATCCACTTACTATATATTCTTGGCCAGATAATGGATCTTGGCGCAGTTCTTGTCAGATACAATGGGGCCCTCGGTGGCGCGCGTGTCGGCTCCCAGGACAACACCATCTTTGTAAATGATGCCCACAATGGTGGTGCCCGTTTTAGTTGTGGTCGGCGGCTTGAAGCCCCCACTCAGAAGTGTAGCATTGCTGTGCAAGAAGAAGACTTGTCATTGCAGAAACGCCGGAGGATTGTTCTTCAACTCACCGCTTGCAATTGTCAAAGTTGAAGCCAGCGTGTGGAAGGTTGCGTGCCAAATCCAAATCCATTGCGTATTTTTATTTTTATATCACCGTTATTGAGAAAAGGTTTCCTATTTTTTCGCTCACCGGAATGACAAACAAAAATCGTACTCGGCAGTGTGACCGCGCACGATAAAATATACCGTCCAGCCCTGAGAAATATACCAAAATATACTGCCTCATTTTAAAAATATACCAAAAATATACTGACGAATTCAAGATATGCAGACATGATGCGCGTGTAGACCTTTGTATACCCTATTACGTTCATTTTACATGAAGATATGAATATAAAACGTAATTAATAAGGACCTGTTCTCAAATTTATATGTTTTAGACATATTCATGAATATGATTGGTACCTATCGATAAATCGATATATATTTTTGACACCCTATTGCGATATTGAATCATCGGTAATGGCCCGGTTGACAACACTTAAATCCTTGTCGTTCACATTCAAAAAATTTATATTTGGCGCGCACCTCTCTTATCCAGTCGATGTCTTCAAATACCAGCAACATTGCGACTGTTTTTTTTTGTTTAACCATTTTATTTAAGCCTTGTTTTCGCCAAAATACAATAAAAGCAAGGACTAGCCAATCTTGAAGAAAAATTATTCATCAACGGCCTAAAATGATGTGGGCAAAGTAAAACCCTTATAGTTAGTCAGAATTATTCAACGGAATATAAAAATTGAACAATATGAGCGACCATCCTCTTTCGTTTTTTTGTGTTACCCATTTCGCTAAAGCCTTTTTTGTTTGACTTATTTCACTAAAACCTTTTTTCAGACAAGATCCAATAAAAGCAAGTGGTTAAAGTTATATTGCAGGGAACATCAAAAAAGCGGAATATGTATAATAGAGCTTGAACTCGTCAGTATATTTATGGTATATTTTTTAAATTAAACGGTATATTTTATTATTTTGTTGAGGGACGGACGGTATATTTTAACGCAAATCCGCGGTCACACTGGTGTGCACCCTATTACGATAAAATGACGATGTCGGCCACAAAATTACATAAAATAAGCTGGTGTGCCCTAAGGCAGCTCCAACAGTATAGAACAAAAGGTAAGAAAGGTGAAATATTGGCACTTTTATTGATTAAAAGGAATACCAGTGTATGCCAGATGTGTCGGGCGCTCACGTTGAACTAGGCGGTTTTAGCCTCAGTGGTGACATGCTACACCTTGCGGAAAAAGCCAGAGTTATTTAATTTAGACGTGTAGTTTTGGTGAATAAAATACAAATTTATTTGCAGCCAACTTCTCCGCTGGTTCAGCATCGATTGCCTCCCGGAATGAACTGTTTACACAGGAGCAGCGCCGGCAACGGGAAGCCATTGGGCGAATTGACAAGATTGAGGTTCGATATTTGGGTCTGCCCGAGGATGTGACTCTGGTGATGAACAATCAAATTTCCACGCCATTCAACTGTGCCCAGCACTTGAGTGAGGGACATTGCAGACGCTCGGCTCTGGCCCTGATCGATGGCAGTGTTCCGTGGGATATGCACAGGCCGCTGCAGGAGTCTTGCACCTTGCAGCTGCTTAACTTCAATATCTCCGAACCGCATGTGGTCAACAAGTAAGCATATGACGCAATTGAGTTAAATGATGCTCATCCCGATTCCTTTGTTGCAGAGCTTTCTGGCGTACATGCAGCTTCATGTTGGGCGCTGCTTTGACACGTGTATTTAAGGCGGAAGCGAAACTCCAATTGCACAGCTTCCCGGGACCAAACAGTAAATGCAATGTCTATATTCTGACGATCTTTCATCTAACGAATCTCTATCACAGTCAAGTCGGGTAGCTTTGTCCACGATATTGTGCTAGAGACCCAAAGCTGGCAGCCAACGAAGTCGGAAATGCGTGCCATCTCGGCCGAAATGATCAAACTGGCGGCCCAGGATTTGCGCATCGAGCGCTTGGACGTTCAGCAAGAGCTCGCCCAGGAGATGTTCAAGGATTCGAAATACAAAAGCGAACAATTGCCCAGTATTGCGCAACAGAGTAATGGTCGTGTGACTCTGTACCGCCTGGGGGACCACATTGACATCTCACGTGGGCCCATGGTGGCCTCCACTCACTTCCTGGGCAAGTGCACCGTCGGGGCAGCCCACAAGGTGGCCGATGAAGGGCCAGCAGGAGCCTTCTATCGCATTCAAGGCGTGGCCCTGCCTTGTGGCTTTAAGTTGAATCACGTTGCGTATGGCTTTCTGGAGGAGCGATCACAGAAGCTGGTGAGATTTCAATAACTAGAATCGTCGGTCCCCTTGCTTACATTAGATCTTTGCAGAACCCCGCTCGCTTGCCCCATGAACCCTTTGAGGAGCACCAACAAATGCAGTTATCTTAAACAGTTCTTTCACAGATAAAGCTATTCAATAAGTGTTAACAGGTAAATCATTAAAGAGCGCCTTATTCGTTATAAAAACGGAACAACAACAACAGAACCTTTATCATCACTGTGGATATCGTTTTCCATTTACTTTCCGTCTTAAAACTACCCTAAAATATCCTTAAGCTATTTGCTCTGACGACAGTCATTTACATTTGGTAATTGGCTTAAAAAGCTACATAAAAGGTATGCTTGGGGAAGAGGATCACTCCCACTCAAGAGGAGATTTCAAAGATGCTTAAAGTATCTACTATCTACAAAATTAACAGATGCATTTCCTCAGTGGCCAGCTTGAGATTGTGAACTAGTCTTCTGGAATGTCTAGAAGCTCTTGAACAGTCCCTCCAGGTCGTGTTCGTTCAGGGCAATGATCAACATGATCAGTCCGCCCAGGAATATGCCGAGTATCTGGATCATAATACCCTTTGGATCCTTTGCCATCTCTGGATTGTGGGCCACACTCATTGTGGGCACCAGATCGGCAAAGGCAATGTACAGGAAGGATCCGGCGGTGGCTGCATAGATCCACTGCGTCATCCCATCTCCAATGCCGGCAATGAACAGACCGACAGCCATGCCAACAAAGCTCAGAACCGAGCTAACCAGGTTCATGTAAATGGCTCGCCTCATGGAGACGCCCGTCTGCAGAAGGAGTGCAAAGTCGCCCAACTCGTGCGGCAGCTCGTGGCATAGGACGGCGAATGCTGTGGCCAGACCAGTTACAGGATCACTGGCAAAGGCGGCTCCAATGGCCATGCCATCGGTGAGATTGTGCAGCCCGTCGCCAATGATGACCATGAACGCCACAGGGGTGAGTGGTCGCTCTGGTGACTTTGCGTCCAGTTTCGTTTCCTGCAGCATCACATTCAGCTCACGTGGTGTCTCTGGGGCCGCCTTCTCCAACTGCTGGCCATGCGAGTGGCCATGACTGTGCCCATGTCCATGGCTGTGCCCGTGGCTCTGCTTGTCACCCTTCAGCAGTGGAAGTACGTTCTCCAGAATGTACATGAACAGGGCGGCAAGGAAGGAACAGCCACACAGCAGGGCAGGCTCACTGCTGTGGTTGTGTACCCCATCGATGGATGCAGCATCTGCGCCTAGGGCCTGCTCGTGCTTCTCCTCTTTGAAGAGAGCATGAGGCAGCAAGTGCATCAGCGCATCTCCAGCCAGTGTGCCCACGGCTATGGAGACCAGAAACTTGAGAACCTCCTGATAAGCTGCTGTTTTCATTAAAGGCACTAGGAGAATGCCAAGCAGACCGCATGCAGAGAGCACAAACATACAAATGCTGGCATATATCCAAGCTGAAAGTGGTGAAATGGTTAGCCCATGATCCGCTTGAGGGACAGCCATGTGACAGCCGAGAGTTCACCTACCATCCCAAATCCTCTGGTTCTTATCCTGCATAATGTGCAGTCGTGGAGCTGGCTGTGCACACACTCCGCCGTCGATTTGGGCCAACAGAGCTGGACATAGCTTCATGAATGCTCTCGGGGTGATCCGTACCGAGTTGATGAAGTTGTTGTACTCCTCATCAGAGTTGTGTTTGGTCTCCGTCGGAACGGTGGAGTCCTTCTTGATCAGCTTGCGGTAAATACTGTTATTGTGGAGGTCATTGTGGTCCACAATGAGGGATAGCAAAAGCTTCGGTGACAAACAGGCGGCAGCAGGCCAAGGTCTGCCCTCCACTGGACATTAAAGAGAGAGTGGAATATTGTTTTGTTAAATTCATATATTACTAATAAGTATTTACACTAGCCGGTAAACCGTAGTTATAAGAAAACGCCAGAATTGGTATCAGACCCGATGACTACCGCATTCTCTCTCCCTCTCTCTCTCTCTCTCTGTCTGTTGGTATCGCTGTCCCAGAAGGGACGAATGAACAGCTTAGACCGCGATCTCTCTCAATTATTCTAGACCTTTTCCTGAGAGATGATCGATTTTATTCGAATTTAAAATATTTCATGTTTCCATTTATCCGCTATATCTGTCCCTCTCTCATCTTTGTCACGAAAACACCAGCTGTGTTGCTATCTCGCTTCCCTCTGCCAGAGGGCGCACACTGCACGAGTAAGAGTGAGAGAGAGAGAAAGTGAGTAGGCGCGTGGTTGGCGGTTCGTAGCCATGGCAAATAGATTTGTTTCTTCGGGCTTTAATATTGTTCCGGATTGAAAATGATCCATATATCTGAGATCTAGACGGACAGACAGAAAGGGCAATTTATATTTATATTATATAGTTTTTATGGGGTATGAAACGCATCCACATCGACCACAAAACAATTATGTACATACATATGTATATCCCCAAACTCTTCGAGTGGGTACCGGCTATAAAAATAAGCTGTCGAAAGTGCACTCAGACGTGGCTCTGCCTTCTCCTTTTGTTTAGTCAATCACACAGTCAATTGACACCCGATTCGCATGTGGGAACATTTCACTACATGAATTGTCCCGACTGTTTAGTGCTAACTGTTTATGGGGAGAACCGTTTTAATGATTGTGTACATTTCAATTAACGGTGAATCTCCGTTCCAGTAACGAAAACATCAACAGCCGTAAAGCAACGGTTTGGGCTAGTTCCTCTTTGTTGATGCGCATGATTGTGTTTTTGCGACAATTTGTTTTCGACTTCCGCATCCATAAAGGGGTCGTTTATCGTGCTATCATCGCCCTGGTGACAAGGATTTTTTGTGTACCTGTTGATTCGCGACTCGCGATTGCATTTCACTGCCCAAAAGGGGAGAGAGAGATAGACGTGCGTTTTCAGATAATTTATGCGGCAAGGTCGCACTTACAGACGGAACTTCCTCTCATCCAAATGAGATGGATAGCAGCATAATTGAATTTATTACGAGTACATAGATGCCGCTGCCCCTGGCCCTGCCTCTGGCCGTGCCCCGCCCCGCCCCGCCCTGACTTGCATTTGGAAACTGGCCAATTGATATATGGATATGTACGGGTAGAGTCGGGCCTCGTTCATTCTATTTATATTGAGGCTTAAGAATTTCTCTACGACTTAATTATAACTGTCTCTCAGGTAATACCACTGCTCATTATTGTCGTTTAAGTGTACATACTCGTGTGTGCATGTACATATGTACTATGTCTGATCATTGTGTGCTCTTGGGTATTCTAGAATTATTGTCAGAACTTCCATCCTACTGTTTATTGTTTATGGCTCTTCTGTCTTTACTTGATCTGCCCGTACGAGTATCTATGGAGTGCCAACTCGAGTACTCGGGCTAAAAACCCATGCGGGTTGTGTGATAATCCAGATCCATAAAGATAAAGACTGGACTACTACTACTCACCGCTGCTCTCCCGCGGATGCCGATGCTTGGGGTCGTGTATTTCCAGGAACTCTGGGACCGCAGGCCCCGACTCTGAGTGCTTTGAGGTCTTGCTGATATCTGGTGATATCTGCACATCCAGAACATCCTCGTCGGTGCTGGCATTAGTGCTGATCTGCTTGTCAAAGTAGGTCCCGTTTGTGCTGGCTTTCGTCTCATTCGAGTAGCCCTGCGGTCGGTGCTCGGCGATGGTGTGCGAGGGGTCGAACTCGATCTGGCCCAGATTCAAGCTGTACATTAAATGCTCGAGACCCTGTAGGGATAATATTTAACAAGAATTTATTAATGAATTCAATTTAAGCAAGGCCAAACAGCAGATGTCAGCTGTTTATCCATCTTAGTCAATTCATGATCCACACAATGATGCCACAGTTTCCCTTTACAGATATTTGCATACTCGTATGTAGATCGAAACCTAGACTACTTTCCCAAGATCGCAATTAAGTGAATCATCTTTCATTTCTCACGAAACTCCCAAAGTGCACTCACTATACGGAGGAGGGGTATGCTTTTGCCATGAGTTTTGGTTCGAATTTACGAGTATTATCGCAGATAATTACTTGATTTAGTTGTCACCGTGCCAAGCAATTATATTTACATCGGAATTAATTAGAGGTCTATTGTTACTTTTGTTGGTTTTGCTGCCGCATTTTTGCTGTCGCGAAAGTGGGCCTGGGCTGTGAGGGGAATATATATTCATAGTATCTAATTGCCTTGACAGCTGTCTGTCGCCGGGAATGGGGCGTGTGCCCTGTAGCCTGTCTGTCGGTTCTATCAGGCACTTAATAAGCAGTTAGCTACGAAGAGAGACAGAGAGAGAGAGAGAGAGAGATTCCTTTTCGAAGATGAGGATCGTATCGTATCGTATAAAAAAATAGCCAAACACGCGCTGGTACAATAAAAGCGCCTAAAAAACCAAACAAATGAACCTGTCTGTTGTTTATTATGGAACACATGAAGTTACGAGGCTCCCCTACCCGTACCCGTACCCGTGCCTGTACCCCTGCCCGTACCCGTACCCTTACCCGTACCCGTACTCGTGCCTCTCAAACAATCCATCGTCTAGCTTATTTTTACTTTCATTCAGCAAAATTGTTTGTGTGCCAAGTACTTGGCATAATATGCAATTGAAATTGGGATTTTGGAATGATAATAGAATACCCGCTCCTCTACACCTCTCTCCTCTCAAATGGGCAGTGGGCGGAGTGCGGGGGGTCCCCGTCTCTGTTAGTATGCCGAGTGCGTAGAAGCATTTTAGTAACCTGACATTTAAATGGACAAAACGTATTGCGTAGCGCTACGCATGAGTAATGCCAATTGCCGGGGACCTGTTGCCTCTATAACTATGGAGTCCATAAGCATAACGCCAACGCATTGCGAAATTTCCATAGGATCGGGCTAGGGACAGGGACTTGGCTTGGGTCTTCGGACGGGTTTCGTCAGCTGTTTGGCTATCATCGCTCATTAGGAGACTAGCTCTTATCGGAATAATCTTTTAATCTTGTTTTGGATAGAGTGTGGGCGTACGAGGAAGAGCAGGGGTACGTGCGACGTCCATGCTGGATGCTCAAGTCTCGGCGGGAGTGTATATCACAATGTGTGTTTGTGTCTGGATTTTGATTAAATTTATGATAATGCCCGCAATAAAGTCTCTACGTTTCTGTCATGAGTTCCATAAGAGAGAGGCAGGCGACTCGTAATTGTGATAGTGTTGTGCGTCCATAAAGATTGCAGGTCTCATGCAGAGAAGCGATTATAACTGTTGAGAGTGTTTTGTTTGTTGATTTGTTTGGCAAGAACAGAATCGTCCAGCGTCTGTCTTCGGACAGAGCCACGGCACAGCAACACACATAAATGTTTCTCACTTTCACAACCCGCAAATATTTGACTTACTCTAATTTATTATTTCCCCTCCCCTCCCCATCCCATCCCGCACCTGCCCTTCCTTGCCCAGTGTCACCGTGTGCCCGTTTTTTGGTTTAGCTGCTCATTGGTGCATGATGACCGACCGGTCCACAAAAACTTACTAATTTTTTGCCATAACATTAGCCAAAGCCAAGAGCCAAAAGCGGCAGAGTCCGTGTCCAGCTCTGTTTACCTGGGCTCATATTTCCCCCCGTCCTCTTGGTCTGTGGTTTTACGTTTACAAGGCTAGTTCGATGGATTGGTGTTGTTGTTACCTCAAAGTTGATTGTCCCGCCATCGCCGTACTTTTGGAATATCTGCTCCAGGTAGCGGTTGTACTCCAGCGAGGTGTGCGCCGTTCCCAGGAGTGCCCCGAGGCACAGGAGGCGTACGATTAGCAGGGGCTTTGGGGCCATATCAATAACTGAACACTTGTGTGGTAAACTTTATTGAACGTTGAGCTGAACCCTACTGGGGGCCGATCGACATTTCACGGGACTCACGCGTGCGTTCCGTTTCGACGACTGTCTATCCCGCTCAACGGTCTTTTTGAAATGACGGTATCGCCTACGCAACGCTTTTATACGACGGAAAGGAACGTGCTTCTCGCTCGCTTCATCTCCATCTCTCTCTCTCTCTCTTACTCTTTATCTCTCTCCCCATGGCTCTGCGCACGCGCCAGCCACTTAGCTGTGTTTTGGCGAAGCTTTTCGGAAAGCTTTCTTCTGACTCGACCAGCAGACCCGTTACTGCCTGCGCGGCGCGCTCTTTCATAAATTTCCCTGGCGTTTGTGTTTATTTTGTATTTAATTCTTATGCAGAAGAAATTCGGTTTTTACATTTTGCAAAAGTTACTTCGGTTATAATTAATAGTTACTAAATTATCGCTTAAATACAAACATACATACATACGTGCGCAAATGTACGAGTACTATGCTATGTAAAAATTGGTATAATATTGGTATTGTGTGTTTTTCTCTGCTGATTCCGAGGAACTGTTCTTTTTTGTAGTTGTTGTTGGGGGAGAATAGACAGATAATATTTAAAGAAAATTAATCAATAAGTAATAATAATAATTCGCGCAAAGTTCTGCTGCCAGAATGCCTTTGAGTTATTTACAATAACACTTTTGTAATGTTGTGCGTATAATTCATAAAAAATTCCAAATTTCTAACCTAACTTAGCGATAGCTTGAGACTTGGGCCCGCGATCGATTCGATGCATTCGCGGAAGGCACCTTTCTTCATCTTTCTCTCCCTCTCTGATCCAGCTTCTCTAATCGAACTTCTCCTGATTGGGCATACAGATAAAGAACTTGGAGCACCACAGGTTGATGGACTGCGAGGTGTCCGCCAGCCACTTGACCGGATGGTGAATGGTCAGATAGTAGACCGGAATGCCGGACAGGATGATTATTGTGCCAATGCCCACTTCGTAGGGCGACTGCGAGCACGAGGATATCACCAGGAAGAGGCAAACGATCAGATAGATGATCGGCAGTGCCAGATTGACCCGTATGGGTCGCTCCGTCTTGGGCTGCTTGTAGCGCAGCCACAGCAGACCCGAAACCGAGATGAGCGTGAACAGGGCCTCCACATAGCTGACGTAGTTGATCAGCACGTAGGTGTCCTTGATGAACAGCAGCAAGAGGGTGAGAACGCCCTTAGGAGAGGAGAGGAAAAGTTAGGAAAAGTTAAAAAACGGTTTGTGTATCGGGGAAGGATCAAGTGGGACTCAGACTCACCAGAAATATCAGCGATGGCACCGGGGTAAGACAATTGACATTGATGAGGGAAATGGCCGCCGGTAGGTGTCCGTTGCGGGCCCCCACGAAGAACAACCTGGACGATGCAAAGATGGCGCCGTTGAGAGAGCCAAAAGTCGAACAGGCCACGGCAAAGGGCATCACCCAGGACATGTAGTCCAGCATCTTGTCCCCAAAGGTGACGGCCACCGCATCCGATGAGAGTATTTCGTCGGTGGACAGCACCGAGAAGTAAGCAACGTTCGTGACCATGTAGATGATCGTCACTACCGGCATGGAGATGCAAATGGCCTTGGGGAGATTGCGGTAGGGATCCTTCAGCTCCTCCGTGACAAAGTTGAGGTAATTCCAACCGGAGTACGAGAAGAGGCCACTGTAGAACGCTAGGGCAATGTATCCCGGGGAAAGATTGCCCCCGCTGAACGGCTTGTCCCAGTGCTCTGTGTTGCCATCGGCCAAGTACCAGACGCCGGCGCCGACGATAACTAGAAGGGCCAACACCTTGGTGCCCGTGAATATGTCCGTCACACGTGTCACCCACTTGACATTGTAGCAGTTGATAACGGTGAGCACACCTAAGGGCAAGTGTCAATCACCATTAGTACACGATGGACGGCTTCGCTTATCTCTGCACAAACTTACATATCATGGCAGCCGCCAACAGCTGTACGGCCTCGGCGGGCGCCTCGCAGGAGGGCCAGAAGGGCTTCAGAAGGTACTGGGCAAAGGTCAGGGCCGTGATCGCATTGCCCGTGGGCACCAGAATCAGCAGGGCGACCCATAGATAAAGGAAAGCAGGCAGTGGACCAAAGGCTGTGCCAATGTAGGCATAATCTCCTCCGGATTTTGGTATCATTGTGCCTAAAACGAGAGAGAAGAGATAAAATGAAAATCATGGAGAAAACTACATATATATCAGAGATAGTATAAGAGAGCCAGCTCTCGTTTCTTATCTGGCTGCGAGGGTTGCTCGAAAGATAATCAGCAACTGATTTCAACAGTGGAGGTTCAACGTTCGGAAACCCAGCGAGAATCACATAGTTCCACTTAATTAAAATGCCTTTTATTGGGATTGAATCATTGCTGAATCACGTGCGAGTCCCAATTTGTGGGGGCCAAACGAAACGACTGGAGCCTGGTCCGGCCGAAGATATTCAAAGAGGTATCTAGCCTTCTATTGATAAGGTTCATTGATAATCAATATTATAAGACCTCCAAATACGAGTAAGTCTGGTGTCTGCTGTCTGGCAGATCTAACGAAAAATTTACGAAACTGGTTCTTAATCGAAGCGGCGGAATAAATGAAGTAAATATGAGCTGTATTTCTCTCTTATTTTGGGGATTGTTCGAATTCCAGGGTCTAATCTTCCGAGCGAGTGTTCACTGTACCAAGAAGGGACCGGACCCACGTTAATTTGCTGCTTATTCAATGTTGTGTCTGGCTCTTATTCTTGTCTGCTTCTCCCCACCGGATTCTTCCCCCCTCCGGATTCATTCAACAGAACAGCTTGTCGGGGAACTGATTTGATGTGTCCGTTGAAGAGGTCATCTTGATGAAGCTGAACTAATTTCCATTTTTAAAATGAGTCTCCCGCGAAATTGCTCCGGGTTCCCGTACCTATATTACTGTGAGTATTCCCTCTCTCGTTGATCGTTTCATCGTACAGATTCCTTACTCTCTTGGAAGTCTTGGAACCAGGGGTGGGTAAAAAGGGGCGATGTACAGTGTAGAGTGTAACATTAAAGATTCGATTGTACGAATAGTAACAGGTTACAGGTTACAGGTCTGTTTAGCCTCAACCTCATTTGCCGATTTGAGTTAACCTCAGCGTTTTAATGAATGCTCGTTCTTGATCCAGTTGTTATGCGTGCCTCACCTCACCTCACCCTCACCCTCACTCAACCCAGGTGGCTACCACGTTTGTCTTACACTCATTTCAGCTATGTAAACAATCCCATCCCCCTCTCCTCTCCGACAGACTACTCCACTTTCCATATGCTGACCCATAATGTGCTGTCATCAACCAGAACCAATAACTGCCAGCAACGCAGAAACGATGACCGGGCGTGGGCTTACAAGCACACGAGTATTATCAAAAATAACAACAGCAACTACAACAAAAAGGAAAGCCTTTACATGGAGGGTCGGGGCCATTACTCACCCAGTTCCGCATAGCACAGGGCGCCGACCATGCTGAGAACACCACATAGCACCCAGACGATAAGCGATTGTCCAATTGAGCCGGAGAACTTGAGCACACCTTTGGGGCTGACGAAGATGCCGGAGCCCACGATGACACCCACGATGATGGCCACCCCATCGAGCAGACCGATCTGCTTCTTGAGCTTCACCCCGGAGCCCTGGCTGTCGCTGTCCGCGGAGGACTGGTTCTCCCGGTCGCGGCTCGGCTGCTCGGCGGGAGGCATCTCGAAGATTTGTCGGGGTATAAGAGAATCGCTCGCCTGAATACGCGCCATTTTACACACAACTTTGGTTTTGGGTTCTCTCAAGACAGAGACTTGAGTTAGGGGTTGCTGGTAGGGTTAAGGGTAAGGTAGGGTTCTTGAATCCCTCTAGGGGTTCCTGTTTCTCTCAGCGATGGTTATTGGTTTTTGTTTTTGTTTTATTATTATTTTTATTTTTATGATAGCTTTTGTAAGACCATTGCTTTTATCGTTTTCCAGTGGGATCTTGCGTATCAGCACGGTTTCAGCGTGCTCTGTGCCAGCGTGGAGCGTGGAGCTCGTCCGTCGATTCAAATACAGTTCTTTTTATTTCGCGCTCTTCCACATGCTTTTATTCAGTTTTTCAGTTTTATTTTGTACTCGCGCGCACACACACACTACACTCCACTCCACTCTCGCACATGTGCATATGTATGGTGTATGGTGTATGCGGTCCGGCGTATGGAAATGTGGCTTATCGGAAACACACGTGGTGTCTTTCAAAGGGGAAGAGTTCGCTGAAGAGTCATCTTCGAGGGCTACCTCAGTCACTATGGATATCAACTAAAAAACAAACGAAAAACAACGTGCAGGCCTCGATGAACAATGTATTTATTTGTAAATAAACTTCGATAATGTCATGCCGGGTCGACGTCGACCGCTCCATGCACGCGCTCTGTTCAAAGTAAGTTTGGAATTCATTTTTAGCCCCCTTTATGAAGCGGGTCTGGGTCTGTCTGGCTGTCGGTCCTCTGCTCTGCCGCGTCGCGCTCTTTGCTTTGCTCAGAGCGCGGCAAGCCTAACTATGGCTTTGCATTTGGCGCTTTTTCACGACGTCGACAGCTGCGGTGCTGCGGCGCTGCGTTGCTGCGGTGCGTGGCTCTCTCCAGGTGCTCTCTCACTATCTCTCTCTCTTTACCTGCCGCTCCATATTATGGCTATCCTATCTCTGTGTGTATGGATGGTGTATGGCACCGCATCGCCCTGCCAGAGGCCTATGCTACCGACTCTCCTCTGCCGCATGATGCAAGAACCAGCTACCATTTCATTAGACCTCGCCTCAGACCCGGCCAGAGAAGGAAAGTTTGGAAAGCCAAAAATACTTGAGGCCGCAGCACGTGCGGCAGCGGCCGAAGAGAAGTTTCTTCGCTCCGCTGTCTCTTCAGACGACGGGATTCACTCTTTGAGTGTCTGTTAGTCAACGACCTTTAATATGATATAAATGGAATGTTGATTTTGGCATTTGGCGTCTAATCTGCCAGAAAATTGTTTGCTGTTTTACGGGATTGATTTGTTGAATGCTTTTATGGGGCAAACAGGGTTTTTAAAACTTGCCAATTGCTTGGGCCAACAATCAATAATTAGTCGGAATGATCGACTATAATTGCCAGATTTCTGCTTTATTACCGCAAAGAAGAAGGTAAGAATCTCTAAGTATTCATATTTACAGGAAGATAGTCTTGTAGTAGTCAGATCTTATTATTCCAATAAAAAGCGAAGTAGAGGAAGTAGGAAGTAGGCGCCTTTGTGGCTAGTCGAGGAATCAGATTTCGACTATTAACCATATTTATGGCTTTCACTTATGGGTGAGGTCTTTGAGTAATGCGATATCTATCCTAACTATGATCGCCCCGTATGGGGCTTCGCTAAACATCTTGTGTTGCTCATTTTCCCGAAAACGCTTGTCACTGATTAGCCCAACAGATTCGGAAGTCTTTTACACGCAATACATAGTATGAGTGTGTGCATGTACACATAGTACACATATTTGTGGGACTTTTGTTAAACACTTGAGCGGATTATCATGAATAAGGTTGGATTAGAGGAGCACAGGGAAACAGAGGAACGGACCCAAACCAAACAGAGCCAGGCGCGTGCATTTGACATTTCAAACTGTGATAATTCAATTGTGGGCTGTGTACTATTAGTAGCCCGACGAATATCTGGATTAGCTAGCTCCTCGATCAGAGCTCTCCCGTCATAAAAAACGAACACAACTAATAAACAAAATAAGTGTAGCGCCTCTGCAGGCTATACATAGTATCTGTGCTCCTCTGGTAATCTAATTGTAAGAGACACACACACACACACGCAGAGCTGGATTTTGTCCAGTGTCCGCGTCCGCGTTCGCGTCCGCAACCGTAACCGCATTTATGTACATACATAGGTATGTTTGTGTGTGTGTGTGTATTTATGTAGAGTGGGTTCGGGCCCCCGTTTGCAGTTGATTAACTGTGATTTCGTGTGACTTTTATTGTTGTCGGGTTTATTTTACGTTATTTTTTTTTTCAAGTTTTGCGCGCCACTCACACATCGAAGTCCACAGAATATATGCTCATGTGGAAGGAAGGAGAAATATGATGGATCACTTCCATATGCAATTTTCGTTAATATTTTTTGTGTCGCTTTCATTATGCCACGAGTCATGTGTTTTCATGATCAACATTTATAGTGTAACATAAATTTGGATATATGTATGTATGCCCATATGTATGTATTTTATTGTTAAATTTAATCTATTTTTTTTTTTTTGTAAAAAGATCCTTCAGAAATCAGAAACAACTCTCGTGGAACGCAACACCGGAATATTGTATCTAAAAAAAAACGTACTGCTTGCGCGCCCCAAGAGATTTACTTGTGCGAGTATCCCGCTCTATGGAGAACCATAGAGAACCAGACGCACTCAAAACCCGAATCGGACTGAATCTGATTTTCATCGGCGGGGCATGCACTACCGAAAAGCTTTAATAAAATAATAAAACAACAAAATAAACACAAATATGTAAATCCAAAAATGTGTTGTTTTTGTCGGACAATTGTTTCACTTTGTGTGGGGGGCACTGTGTGTGTGTGGGTGAGGTGAATGATAGCGGACAAAAACAAAAAACATACATATGTGCATAAGGAAGTGTAAGTGCCAGTGTCTATGGCACAGCTCTCCCTATCAATGCACGCATGCCCCATGCCCCTCATGCACCTTAAGAGCGAGGACAGTCCCAAGAGTTCGAAGAGAGAGTGCAGTATTCGCCTCAAACTATCTTAGCTCTGACGGATAACGTTCTAACGGATAACGCCTGAAATATACGACCCCCCCAAGCACTTAGGCCATTGCTCCCTTAATACATTAAGACAGAGCCTATCCTTTACACTCATATGTATTGTCTATTTATGTACATATACTCGAACAGCACGTTATCAGTTTTAGCACCTGCATTAATCGCCCAGCGGCGGAACCTTAAATATCTTGGCTGTAGTGTCCTCGGATACCGTCAACAGCAGGCTGTCCAGAGGCTTGTAGGCCAATTCGTAGATGTGACAGAAGTGTCCGGTGAGGGTAAACTTCAGGGTGCCCGTGCGGGCATCGAAAGCATTCAGATTGCCGTTCGATGTGGCCGCCATGATAGTATTGTCGTTCAGCCATTTGATCCTGAAAAGGTCACGTAAAACATTAGCAAAATTAAGCAACTAGCGGTCGCTGTCGGACAGGGCATGAAAGTCACCTAAGGACGCCATCGTTGGGCACTGGATTCTCGCAGACAGTGCGCAGCGAATACTTTGAGTAGTCCCATATGGATATGTGACCGTCCAGCGAGCCGCAGGCAAAGAGCTTTAAGTCCGAAGAAGCGGGAGCAAAGGCAATGCACTCGATGCCGTGCTCCGACTGCACAACACTGACGGGTCCACTGTTGGTGCAGAATAGCATTTTTCCTAAAATTGTGATTCGGTTAGATTAGAGAGCCTAGTCGCATAATCGCTATCCAATTGGTTTCTTACCTCCGCCCTCGGCGCAGATGTAGAAGGGAGAGTCGAGTTCACAGGCCACCACTGCGTGGGTGACCTCACCGAAGCCCATCGGGTGCTGCTCGTTCACCTCCATGAGCACCTGGCAGGTTTTCAGGTCCCAGAGCTTGACGGCGCCATTCATATAGGCCGTTAGCAGTTTCTTGCCGTCGCCGCTCAGTTCTCCGGACTCGCAGCGCGCCCCCTGACCGGCAAGGATTTTGCAATCTCCGCTGGGAATGCGCCAGACGTACACCTCGCCGCTGTCGCTGCCCGCCAGGAGCACATGGGCACCGCGATGCCAGAAGAGCCACGACATGTCAGACATGGAGTATTCCCAGACCTTGGTCAGAATGGGGCGCTCCTCGCGCTGCTCGCTCACTTTGAAGACATTGATCTCACCGGCAAGATCTCCCGTTACCAGGTAAGCGCCATCGTGGCTGAAGTGCGCCTCGGTGATGGTGTCCTTGTGTTCGGTGATCTTGTAGAGCACCTCGCTGTTGCTCGTGTCCCAAACAAAGGCTAAATCGTCCTCGCTGCCCGTCACCGCCCAATTGTAGTGCGGATGCAGGCTGCAGGCGAAGACCGGTGCTGTATGGTTGCGGAACGTGAGTACCGCCTCGTCTATTATGTTCGCAATGCGCTCTCGGTCCCGGATAGACTCCTCATCCATTTCATATTCATCGTCTTCGTCGTGAAGTCCCAGACGTGCCTCCAGCTGCTCCAGCGTCACCTCCTCCAAGTCATCGTCCTCGTCCAGAGACGGCGCTGCATTCGCGTCTAGCTCGATCTCTTCCAGTATCTCATCGTCGTCGTCTTCAAAGTCCGGACGATGCGGTGGCGTATTGTCGCGCATAGTCGGCTGTTATTGTTAATTGTATCAAAATTGTTTTAAACAAATGTCAACAACACGTGCTCAGTCCGACCCTCAGATATATACCGAAAATGCATCACAAATTTTAAAATATACCGTAAATATACTGACGAATTATTTGTAGTCAAGTTTCATCATATTCCTCGATTTTGATATTCGGTGGAATATTACTGGCTAGCTAAGACCGTCAGCTCCAAACTCATAATTTTATCCGAGTATTAAATCAATTTCCTACAAGACTGGCTTATTTTAAATTCTCATATTTATTGAATTATTTTTAAAATAAGGTTTAAACAAAAACGGTTGACAACAATTTCCACAAAATGCATTTCTTTAACACGACAACTACACAGCTTATGCATATTAACTACATTTGCATGTAATTACCAAGAGCGACACCTGAGGGGGAAATGTGTTCGTTCGTGCCTTTTTTTCATATAATCCCCATGGAAGCGCTAGTGTGAAAAACCTACGTTATCCACTTTTTGACATGCCGTTTTCCGATATTTTTGAAAAAAATCTCAATTTTAATGGCAGAAAATCAGAAATTCAATGCTGATCACAAATTAGTATTCGAAGTGGCCTGGAACATGGGTCTAAATGGCATTTATACACGGTTTCTACGTTGGTGTATTGGATAGGAGGGTAAGTCAATAAAGCGTCTTAAAATATACATTAAAATACAAGAAAATACCATGAAAAGTATAAGCACTTGCAAGGTGTATAAGCTGACATGGTGGCAAGAAAATCGGACCGACTCTCAGAAATATACCGTAAATAAAATAAAATAATATTCCGTAAATAATTCATAATTTTCCGTGAAGGGTATTAAACAAAATCTGTTTTAAAAAGTATTATTTACCCATCTTCCGTAAATATACCTTCAACTCAAAATTGGGACAGCAACTACGTAACCTCCGTTGCCAAAACAGCAATTTTATAGCTAGATCTGGCTATTTTTAGAGCGCGAGATTCAAATTATTTGTCAGAAATGTGGCTATTTAAATATGTGTATTTAGCTGTTTTACTACTTTTTTTTAAAGTAGTGTTTAAAACATAGATTCAAAGAAATATGTAGCATCTCCATCTGTCAAAATATATGGTATAGATTTGTACAATGGATTCCACTAAGCCAATACTAATGACGAATTTATACTATTACGAATATATTTTATTAATAAAAACATCATTTGTTGTTAAAGTGTTGTTATGTGCAATTGGCATCCTGCAAAGTTAACCTCGTCTTCTTTGCATACTCTGCTGCCGTAACGTTCAAGTAACGTTACGTCGTTGCTTACGTGAGCAACAGTGCGGGAAAACATGAAAAGTACGCGGGATTTTTAAAATTTAGTTTGTTAAAGGGCTTATTCTTTTCTGGAACAACTAATAATTGGATTTAGCAAAGATAGATTTATTTCAAAGTAGGACAACAGTTTTTTGGTATGGCTTTCTTATCTACGTCTTTCCGAACGATGCTACTTTGTAACAACCAATGCCTCCATTTCCTTGACCCTTTCCTGGAGTTCCTCCATGGGCGGCAGATTCCCCCAGTCGCATTTAGAGTTACATTTATCTGCATCCGCTTCGGTCTTAGTTATCATTGCGTTTAGGCCACTCAGACGATCTCGCAGACGTTGCTCCAGTCCTCCGATGCTGTCTAACAGGAGCTGTTCGTAGGTCTGGTTCTTGGGACGGAGTTCACTCAGCTTCGCCTCCAGCGCTTCCAAGCTGTGGGTCATCTTTTTTACTGACTCCGATGGCTCTTCAGGAACCATGGCCAATTGCTGGTTCACATCATCCTGTCTCTGCTTGGTCATAAAATCTTTGACTTTTTGCCTTACCGTTTCTATAGCTTTCAGATGTTCTGGCCAATTTGGTGACTTTAAAAGTTCAATTATCTCTGGTGCTTTATCATTAATTTCCTTCATTTGTTCTTCTAGTTGGCTTACTTTTGCCGATTGATCGTCGATATTTCCTTTCTTCTGACTTGGACAAAACTCTCCGCACAAAGAAGCCATTTTTCGGATATTTGCCTCCTCATCGTTCAGCAAGCCTTTCGCACTTATTAGATTTGCGTTCGCTTTAGTCAATTTATCCTGAAGAGAGTCAGCTGTCTCGATTGACTCTGGCAGGCCGTCACTTAATTTCAAGTCTTTCATTATCTTTTCTATATTTTCCATATCTTTTTTCTGATTCGGACAACACCTTTCTGTGCTCTCAGAAGCTGGACTGCCATGCAAAGCGTCTAGACTTTGCAAAAGCTTCACTTGATCTGACCTATCCATCTCCAAGGCCTCTTGCTTGTCGATCAAGTTTGTCAAATATGCCGTCAGATCGGAGCTATTTGCTTCAAGCTTTTCCAAATTATCTTCCATCTCAACTTGGAAAGTATTATATTGGTCAGACCAGGCGGGGCAGCACTTTCCTACGGAACGATTTCCCTTTGCTGCTCCCTTGGCTAGCGCAAGGCTCAGGTACTCCAATCTCGTCTTTAGATTATCAAAGTCGGAGCCGATATAGCCCGTGGACTGCGCTCTCTTGTAGGGCTCTATACCGTTTAATTGCAGCAAGAAATCGATGCCATCGTGGACTACTTCCACCCGATCGCGGATGGGCTCGTAGGGACAGCATTTTCTATGTATGTGACGCTCGATCTTACCCACAATTATCAACATTTTCTTGATTAGTTTATCCAGAGCTAGACTTCCATTGATCTGCTGATTAATCCATATTCCGATTTCGGTATTCCCATCGCAACTGGAAGTCGAAGGGTAAGCCAATGTTGATGAAATTTCATTGGATGTCGTCGTCAGTTGTGTTGTGGGTTGTCTTGTTGGTGTTGGAGTCGGTGTCGGTGTCGGTGTCGGTGTCGCTTTGGGGTCCAATTTTCGATAGCACATTACTGACTTTCGGAGGTGGAGCAACCCCCACAGATTGATCGTAATGGCGTTGTCGGACTCCTTGATGATGGGCAGGAATTTCTCGACGAGGAAAAGGTTCCTCACCTCCATCTCCCACTCGGCCACAGCTACCCAAAACTCTAATAGATCTTTTTTACTGAGGCCCGGAGGTATGCATTTGGCCTTCTTGTAATCATCCTTGAAGTGACTGTTATCGTGAGCATACTTCATTGAATCCTCGTTCACGTTGTCAAAATCCTCGTAGTCGGGCGGCGAATCCCAGATGAGGTGGCACAACATAAGAATCTTGACGCAGTACTCAAATTTCTGTGATTGGTTCAAGCTTCTGGGCTCCAGACTGGAAACCTTTTTGCTCGAAACATTGGTTTCTTTGGCTACCAAAACCAAGAGGAGCACCAAATAGCCTTTTCGAACCTGCTGGAGGTGGTTTCTTAGTAAGTCTCATTGCGTTCTGCTTCTGGGGCCTATTTACCATGACGTGACTGCATGCCTGGGCCTGTTTCTTTGATTTACACCTGATTGCTTTCATTCTCTGGTCTATTGATGCACGAGGTGCCCCTCAACTCAACTCAATTCAACCTTTTATAATTCAATTTGAAATACCGGGGTACCTTGGGGTGGGTGCCAGCGGAACCTGCTCTATTGTTACCCTCTTCTAGGGACTGTTACTTCGTTTCGATTTCGGTTTCGGTTTCGGGTTCGGTTCTCACGGTTCCTTCCGTGCGTGTCCTGCGCGTGAGCAGCGTACGCATGGAGCATGTCCTCGCCATAAGGAAGGAAATGATTAGGGGAAGCGATCGGGAGATACTCGTATATAGTGTTTACCTGCTGCGGAGGGTAATTGTAGGGGTTTGCTTATTGATAAGAACCTTTATCATTGCTAACTGTTCCCCCATACCATCCCTTATGAAGTGCGGGGTGCAGTGTATATCGATATTTGTTTCTGAATCGTTTCCACTGATTTTGTCCTATTCGTAAATAGTCCCGCATCTGATTGACTTGGTCATGAGCGAACGGTCATTAAACTTCATTTCCAAAGGGGCGTAAAGTGGTCTTCTACATACACATACACATGCACATACATGAATACATGGCGGTACATACAAATGTACATATGTATGTAGGTATGTATATAGAAATATCAATGCTTGGCGAATGCATATAAGAATGGAGAATGCGCTTGTGTGCGGCTGTGAGGGACGTTTCTTGTTTTGGGGTCCGCGAGATCGTTAAAAACGAGTCACAGTCTTAGGGCAAGAGTGGGGGGGAGTGCGAGGTGCGGCGGACCCTGGAGATGCTGTTGTTGCTGCTGCTGCTGTTGTTGCTGCTGTACGAGTACGTGCGTGTAGAAGAAGATTAAATGGAAACAAATCTCACACACAAATAAACACTATTGGAAAGAGTTTTGAACATTGTTGACCCGCCAAGGCAGAGATACGAATGACCTGAAGCAAACAGAAAAGAAGAGGCAGTTACAGAGACAGAGAGAGAGAGGGGGAAAAAGGTGATAAACATAAAAATGGGTAGCCCAGTGACTAGAGATAACAAAAAAGGGCCTCGGGGACGCATTCCCCTCCATCTTCTCCTTCTCGTTCTCGCGTTCCGGCATAAATGCATTATACATCCACATGATAACGAACACACAAACAAACCAGAGACAGTGTGTGTGTGTGTGTGTGTGCATGTTGCATGTTGCTTATCTCCATTTACGCGGCGCGGCGTCAACGTCAGCGCAGGCCGCTGCGACTTCTTGTATAAAATCAAGGCGATCGCTGCCTTCGTCGTCAGTCGAAAGAAAACCGTTAAACGCAGCATCTACTTCTACTTCGTCGCTCTCACCCACCCAATACCCAGTACCCACCAGCCAATACCCTGTGGCGTGAGTGGGGGGTGGGGGGAGAGAGAGAAATTGCGGAAAGCCGAGATGGTTGCAGCTTTAAACGCGCTCAAAGCGCATCCCACTACGTGACGCCTTACGCCACGTTACGTTACGTTAAGTCACGTTACATTGGTTGGTACAGAAGCTTTAACACCGTTTGGCTCTCGGCCGCGCCCTCATCCGGATCAGTGGAGCAGTGGAGCAGAGGAGCAGAGCGGCGTGCAGAGAGACAACAGGACCGGGCTGGAGGAAAGTGCAATGGGGCCTTGAAGGGGCTCACCCACACACACACACACTCACTCACGATGCAGATGCAGTTTGGCGTCCCTCAAGGTCAAATCCCCACAAGTTCATGTGCAATATTGTATAATTTGTTGTTAGATCACGTTCCTGGAACGTGCCGCTGTGATTGCTGCAATTATGCATCTATTTTTTATGCATTTGTTATGTTATATTTTTTACGTAGTTGTTATTGCTTGTACAAAATAATTGACTGTTACGTTACCTTTACGTTTTACATATCGTCCGATACGGTGTAGATGACAACATGATCGCAAACGTCTTCCATTCTAGATAAGAAAATTAGTCTGTACGAAAAGGAGTTTTTCTTGTGATGAAATAAATCAATTCTTCATGGGGAAAATGAAAAAACACTTGTATTTTATTATTTCTTACTTTATTTTCTTTTAAAAGGAGACCCCGAACAGAGATCGTATATTCTAGAAGTCCATAGAGAGAAGCAGGTATTCTAAGGGGGACAAACATACTGGAACTACTTGTAAATGGGCGACAAATCGAACAAGAAGTCACGAAAATTCCAAGGATCGCATTTTGCGCGCAACCATCATCCCAGTTGAATCGAAATCTGGAATAATTGTAAGTGCCAAGACATCCTTACAACGCCGTATTGACTTATGTTCTATAAGTCCGTACGGGAAAACAGATATTCCAAGGAGGACAAACATATTGGAACTACTTGTAAAAAGGGGGAAAATCGAACAAGAAGTCACGAACAATCCATGGATTGCACTTTGCGTACAACCACCACACCCACCATCCTAGTTGAATCGAAATCTGGAATAATTTTAACTGCCCAGACATCCTTACAACGCCGTATTGACTTATGTTCTATAAGTCCGTACGGGAAAACAGATATTCCAAGGAGGACAAACATATTGGAACTACTTGTAAAAGGGGGGAAAATCGAACAAGAAGTCACGAACAATCCATGGATCGCACTTTGCGTACACCCACCATCCCAGTTGAATCGAAATCTGGAATAATTTTAACTGCCCAGACATCCTTACAACGCCGTATTGTAAAGCGAAATATATCATTTTGTAAACACTAATACATAAGAGTATAACGTAAGGGTGTTAATGCCACCCATACGGAGTACTAAATATAATATGTTAGCCAGATAAACACACATCTCCCACATGTATCCAGCATGTGAGTTGTATTGGAATATCCCAGATACTCGTATCGTATAAGGGTCGGCAGGCAGACACGATTGCCCATCTTCAGTGCAGAACCATGTGCTGGATCTTCCATTGAAATAACAACAAAATAAAATATGTGTGTTTCAGCATGTTTATTTTTTATATTTGTTTACAAGCAAACGTTCACTCAAACCGTCGTCTCAACAATTGATTCTCATTTTTGCACAGCAAAAATGAAGAAAATTGTTACTATGTACCTCCCCAAAAATAGTGGCTATCCACCGCTTTTTCGGCATTTTCAGTCAAAATGGCCAAAAGCGGTGTCCCTTGGGTAATCCCATAATCGATGAACCAAAGTCGAAGTGCCCAAACTTTGATGTGCCCATCCCGCTGAAGTCCAGGCTCCAGTTGGCTGAAGAGTTGTCCCAAAAGAAATGTTGAAAAACCCCGCTTAGAGATGCTCAAGTATCCCAGGTCCTTGCCGATCCCTCACGCTTGGGCCCACCGGTCGAGGAAGTTCCATTCGATGGCATAGGGCTCGCTGGCCTTGGGCTGCACCGAGGTCCAGAAGAAGGTTCCGGCATTGGTGCGGGCAAAGTGGACAGGAACATAGTAGTCCTCCTGGTCCATGGTTTGCAGTTCCCCGGAACCGTTCTCGTTGTAGACGATGATGGCATCCTCCTTGGCGCACTGGCGGATCTCCTCGATGAGGCGGCTCTCCAGATGCTCGTTGGCCATGTTGTCCATGTCGTTGTTGAGCCAATCGAACTCGGCCTCTTTCTCGGCCGAGGCGATGTAGGAGCTGCGCTTTGGCTGCTCCTTCTTCAGATTAAAGACGTGACCCAGGAGCGGCTTCAGGAGGTTCTTGAGACGGCGCGAGGGCGACACTTTCGACTTGTACATGTTGTTGTTGAAGTTCTTCTGCTTGGTGATGGCCGACATTCTAAGATTTTTGTGTGTGCGTGTTGAGATGTTCTCGATTAGACGGTCGGATGCTGTGTGATGCTCTCTCTAAGACTGGAGGCGCTATTTATACATTTTCTGCCCGAAAGAGAGGCGCAGCATCTCAGCCAATCACAGAGGCCGAGACGAGGGCAGGTGCAAGGATCTGGAATTTCACACGTTCAGCAGTGGCAGCAGGTATGTCCTGCAGGACCTGCAGGACCTGAATGATCCTGTCTCTGCTCCTGCTGAAGCGTGGGAATCTTATGCTCGGCTCTCCTTCCAAGACAATTATCCCTTAATGGATCCTTGGCGTGGGAATCGTAGGTTTTAGGCCTTTTCTCCAATCCCGATCTCTATGACTGTTTTGGATTTGGTTCTGTTTTGCTATTTCGTCAGAAATATGTTGGTTCTGTAACCGAAAACCGAAGACCGAATACCGAACACCGACTGCATTGTGAGCAAAATTTATTAAAATTTTGTTTCATCTTATTGTTCGTATTTGTGATGGAACTAGTGATGGCAGTGGCCAAGGTTCTGACAGGCACGATCCTGGGACTTTGGTGGTTTTTTGTCTCTTTACTCTGATATGAACCCCTCACGGGTTTTTGAGTATCTGGTCTTCGTGTCACGATATGCGATACTTCACTTGGTCACCCCTAGATTTCAACATAGTCATATGTACTCTATCAAAATACAACGCGTTTCATTTGAGATCCGATTGATTGTTTTGGCATGCCAACGTTTGAATACACCCAGAGAAAAACTACCTGAATATTTTATACATTTAAATATTTATGCCATTTGCATCGGGATCTCGGTGAGTGGAAATATTGAAGTGGTAGTGCTTTCATTTAAATTTCGGCTTTAATATGAAAGAAACATTGAAGTGGTAGTGCTTTCATTTAAATTTCGGCTTTAATATGAAAGTATTTTATCTAAAAATATTTAAAGTGTATAATGAATATATTTAAAATTTCTACAAATTGTATATGATACATATGATACAAATGGGACGTATTAAAAATAATTTGTAGGTATATTTAAATCAAAGTGAGTTCTATATAATTTAATCAAAATTGAATATTAAATATATCTTTTTACTGAGGAATTTTTCTCTCAGTGTAGTTATAGAAATACTTGTACCCAATTCTCCTAGAAATACTTACTATACCGATTTTACTTGAACCGATATAAAGAACTCCTTCCACTATTTATGATATTTCTTATTTCGTATGGCTTCAATAAAGGATCAGCGTGCCTCTATACACATATTGAATGAAAGATATTTAAATATTACGGGTAAAACTTTAGGAGCATAAAATCCATTTGTTCGAGCTGTGCCGTGTAGCCTTTCGCCTTTATTCTTAAGGTATTGCTGTTGGTCTGGGTTCTCTTTGCTTTTGTTTTTGTTTATCGTCTTAGGGTCGGTCCCTGGTGTCTCTACCTGTTTCAATGCAATTTGAGATTTATTTTGTCCAAGCCTCAATCCTAAGAAGGAGCGAAAAGGAGAAAACAAAAATCAGAAAACTGCCTTTGGGGTAACAGGTTTCTCGGTTCGGTTTCAGCTCATTTTTGTTTCGAGTTTTTCGAATCGACAACAGGTTTTGATCAAAGGAAACAGGTAAAGGTAGCCGAAGGTTTCTTCTTAAGGTTCTTTTGGGCTTTATTTTGCTGTTGTTGTTGTTTTTTGTTGTTTATTATTGTGTCTTGTTATTCAGGGAAGGGATTTTGTAAGGGAAGGGGTAAGAACGGTTTTTTTCGAATTCATGGAAAACCTTGGAGGAAATTAAAATAACAAAGGGAAAGTTGGAATCAGAAATGCAGACAAGTCGGTTAATATTCATATTAGGTATGTATTTATTCAGTCACTTAAAAATATATGGAAGACAATGATTAAAGCTTAGTTGGATGCACTCTAGTCATTTCCACTTGTTGAGTGGGGCGTTAAAGCTGCTCGGATGTTTAGAGACCCATTCCGGTGTAGTCTTAAAGCTCTTTCTAGATGTCCAGGACGATCTCCTTCCTTCGATCACAGTTGCAAAAGTTGAGCTGTCGCCGCTGCCTCCAACTCTTCGTTTTGGGAGTTCTGTAATTCTTCTTCGCTAAGTACGAGGCATTCTATTTGCGAGGAATTCTCCTCGTGGGCTGGCAGGCTGGTGTTTTTGAGCTCCCTGTGCCCCTTGGAAGTGGTGGACGAGGCCTTTAGTAGTTTGCAGGCCATTTTGAAGATTTTCTTCACGGCCTTCGATGGGGTGTAGGTTTTTTTCACGTATACAGGACTGTACGTGCTGTTCAGCAGAGTTTCGTAGGCCATGTTAGCTGATTATGATACTGACTGTTCAACGCTTCCAGTGGAATTGATGTCCTATTTGCAACGTCTCTTCGTATTTATAGGACCTGGCGCAACCAACCCCTAAGCCTCAACCAATCAGGGCTCGTCCTGGGGCAGGTGTTTCTCGGTTTCTCCCGAGTCCGAGGGCCGAGTGCCGAGTGCCGAGTCACGCATTCCTCCACGCAAGAGCAGGTAGCTCCGATACCGAGACCCTTGCACGTGTGCAAAGTATTGCCTCAAATTGTTGGTCCTAAATAAATCTCTTCGCTGGCTTCTTCGTGGGAGAGTATAATTTCAGTCGAATATTTATTGGTGGATGCGGCAAGCATACAGAAAGATCGACAACAACATCAACAGAGAATTTGTTATCCCTTTTCATGGGTCCTAGCCCACGAATTGGTAATTTGAGTGGTTTGTGTGCGGTGGACGAGGGCCCGGGATTCGGGCTCGGCTCGGCTCGTTTCGTTTCGTTTCGAATTTATGCCTTGATTAGTTTTTGGCTATTAATTGTTAATAGACAGACAGTGGAGGATAAAAGTGACAGACCCTCGTTAAACACATGTTGTCGGCAACGGCATCGGCAACGAGCAATATTTACACGTCAACATTTCATTTCTGATCAGGACAGGTAGGGTCCCTCTTTCAGTACAGTGAGCACTCACCATCGTTTGCTGTGGCGGACGCCTCAAAGACCTTTCTAAATCTCCCGATTCTCCTTTTGATGTTCGAGGCTTTACAGTGTGCAGTACCACTTGCTCCTCAGCTTGGGTCTTTTTCCACACAAATGTATTCAGATTTCGTTTCGTGATGAAATAATTGGTGTGAGGAACTACAATTTTTGGAAATCATTCAAATTCCTGTCGGGTAGATTGCTATGACGTTGGGTAGGGTAGAGTACCAGATCAAGATCCTTTTCCATCTACTTGGGGGGTGGACAGCGAAGGGCTTCGAATGGTTTTGGCTTGTTTAACAATTCCATAAGAATAATTCTGTATAAATACGTACAGTGTGCATTGTTATGTTCGTCTCGTCTCAAGTTCAGTTGTTAGGGTCGAATTTCCTTGAAACTCAAGCGCCGGAATGAAACTTTAATAAATATGAATTTATGTGCGTAAAGTAAGGGCTTCCAGACTAATTGGATTCTCGAGAAAATGAAATGCGATATTAAAATAAAAAGTGGTACATTTGGTGACAAATATTTATTAAATGCAGTTTTCTAGGATCTATTAATATCATAGTCAATACACATATGTAAATGTATGTATCGTATCCCCTATAAATACGAGTATGTATTATATAAATAATCTGGGTACCCACTCTTAAAAATATTTTCATATAGTTTTTGAGCATTAAAGTGATTGCAGTTCCTAGAGAAACGTTAGGGATATGTACATGTTAGCCATAAATAAAAATGTACTTAAGTCCAATCAGAGCATCCATTTGAATGCAGTAATTATGTTTGATTCCAATCGGTATCCAATAGGCGATTGGTTCTCTGAAATGCGGGGAAATGCGGCTACCAGCAGAATGCGATTTTGAAATCAATTTATTTCAATGAATCAATCATTTAGTAAAATAAATCTCTTATTGCCCATCCAACAAGACTTTTGTTGCACATTAAAAAAATAAGTAAACAATTTTTAAAATTTTCTTTTCGTGTATATATGTTTATTTTATAATTAAAAAAAAATTGTTTTCTTATATCTAAAAAAAAAAGGTTTTACATGGAAGACAAAGATTATTAGCCTAGGTACTTATACTATGACCCTAACAAACAAACATGGAAGACAATGATTTTCCTAAGACTAAACCCTAATTCTAATAAGACACAAGACATCACAAGTATTTATATAGTTACAATTGATTGTGATAATAATTGAATATCAATTAGAGTTGCATTTCCTTGGGAGGAACCAAAGAATCCAATCTATACCTAATATCACCCTGAGATTACGATCCTGCGAAGCTGGGCCATTTCCCATCCGTGCAATGGACGGGAATGGGACACTTGCATTTAAAGCTGCCGTCCAATTGGATAGGGTCTCCTTTGCCAGAGGATTCCAGTGGGATTCCTAGGCCTGAACCCAGCGATCGAACTGCTGGCGCAACTGTTGCTCCTGGTGCTGGCGGGCACCCTCGGCAGTGGTCCAGAAGAAGGTGCCGCTGCTGGTGCGGGCAAAGTGGACCGGGATGAAGGTCTGCTCGGGCTGGACGGGGACGACGTGTTGCTGCTGACCCTGCTGCACGATCATTGCCACGTTGCTGGGGCACTGCTTCAGATCGTTGTAGAGGCGCTGCTCCAGTTGCTCGTTGGCCATGTTGTCGCAGCTGACGGCGGGATCTTTGCGCATGTCCTCCAGCGAGGCGTTGATGTCGTTCTGGTTCTGGATCTCAGCCAGAGTCTTCCGCAGTAGCTGCTTTTTCTTCACTAGCCGCAGCAGTGGTTTGACGAGTTTCTTCAGACTCCGCATGGCCATCGTGTGCTGATCTGATTTCTGCTGCACCATGCTGCTCTCAAACTTGTATTCCCGTGTGATGAAAGACATTGTGTTGTGTTGGAGATTTGTTAAAAAACAATAAAAAAAATTTCTTGAGTTGGTTGCACTCGGCTGGGAGGTCGGGACTGTTATGCCAACCCAGGTCTTGGGCCGCTCCTTTTATACGCTCCGCTCTCGGCCTCCGCTCAGTCGGGGGTCGGGGCTTGGGTCGTCGTCGTCGACTCTCCCTCGGCTCTCTGCCTCTTTCACGATCCCGTGGTGCAGCCAATGGGATGACCGCCTGCAGGCAGGTGGTTGCTCAACGCAAGAGAGAGTCGCTCTCACTAGAGATGGATGACCCTTGAGATGGGAGGGTGTATTCGGCAGTTGTGCAATTTCAGCATCGTACCATATACAGGGTGGCATGACCTGCAAATCCCTTTGCTATCGGTTGAACGTAAATCTCGTGTGTTTTATCGGGATTTAGGGAGATTCGCATTTTAATAATAGTTATAAATAAATTTAAATATCTCTAGATCGGACACCGAAGGAGAGGACTTTCAGTGTGGATTAAAAAGTGTGGGAGGGATTTGATAGACAAATATCACGACTTACTGACTATAAGGATATTTTATATAGATATTTTGAACAAAATCTCGGAATCTCAAATCTGTAGCTCTATATAAAAAAAGTATAACCTTTCATATTCAATTTTTGCTGGGTATCAGCGTTTCGAGAGGGTTTTTTTCCATCATTATGAGGATTTGTTGTTGTCTCCCTGATCTGACTCTTTCGCTCCATTCATCTCACTTTCTCTCTCTCTCTCTCTCTGTATATTTCTGGCTCTCCCTCGCTCAACGGATCACTACCTGCTGAGGATCAGAATAAAAAGAAATATCAAATCGCAAACGAAAAATTCCAAGAGCGGACAAGTCTGAACTTGTTCGAAAAATTCCAAGTGTGTGAGCCGGGAGAGATTTTAAAATTCGACACACTGTCCCAAAAGACAGAGGAGGAGGATATGGACAAACAATAGTTTTCGTAGTCGAGATACAATCTCTCTGCTGGAAATACCCGAGCAGACAAGGGACTTGTCTTTTATTTCATTGAGGCAGCCCAGAAATCTCCCTTTCTGTCCGTCGGTCCTTCAGTCCTTCTGTCCTTCGGTCCTTCGGTCCGTTTGGAAAAGTAACGTTTTTTTTTCGGTTTCGGGTACTTGGCAGTGCAGTGCAGTGGATGGGATTGGTGATGGTCGCACTCAAGGTTAGTCAATATGCATTAATGCCGCATTTCGGGAAATCTTAGCAGGTCCTTTTCGGCTCCTTCCGATCGTATTTGTTTGTCATTGTTGTTCTTTCCCGGTTCAGGGACCTGCTCTGTTGATGCGTGAAAAATTTACGACGCGGCAGAAGCACGTAGAGCGATATCTTCTATCTTGGGATCGCACTGTGCGTTCGGTTTTGGTTTACTGGAATTTCGTCGGCACTCCGTATGAGTCGTCTTCCTAATTGTTTTTTTCCCTTTTCCTACCCTCTTTTCCCCACCCCCTGAAGGTTACTTTCTTATTTTTGTAACGGCCAAAAATGTGTAGTTTCCTGTAACGGTCAAATCCCTATCTGGGTATCCCGATGATCATTAAGTGAGAGCGTCTTTAATCGAGCCTTCTTTGAATCTATTTGCCTCTAAAAAAGCGAAGCATCTCTCTGTACGGGTTCCCGTATTGACTTACCAAAAAATTTGCATTTTTTTGATTGGGGCTGAAAATAATATGCATATCAATATCGGTTATTGTGCAGCGGAGTGGAGGCTAATCTGGAGCAAACACTTGTATGGCTGTCGCTGGCCTTATTACCAGATAAACAATATATTAACTAAAAATACCACTGGCTATGGATAAGAGAAATACGAAGTGTAATTGGTAATACAATACATATATTTGTATATTTATAGTTAAATTATTAAATTTGCGTGTATTTATATATGTTTTTGTATTAATTGGAAAAATTAGCTATGTTATGCAATTTTACTGTAGAAAAATATTGCAACATTTTTTAAAATTATTTAATATAAAATATAGTATTATAATAATAATTACCAATGCAATCCCTTTGACCTCATTGCCACTAAAATAAAAAGTCGAGCAAATAGATTGTGAATCCAATTAATGGAGATTCTTTTTAACTGTCCTTTTTTTTGGAAGTAATGCAAGTAGAGACCCAAGATTCCTTTTGATGTAGATGCATCTGGTTAATCCAGCCCACAGTCTGGTCTTGTTATTTGGTATATTTTATTAATAAATTCGAAAACAAGAATCGAAGCCAGAAAGAAGGCAATGCCGATCCCACAGTCTTAGTGCTCGTGCACGTGCAGCAGTTCTTGGTCCTGGCAAAACCCCGACATGTCTCGACATGTTCAACCGGCTAGATTGCTGGGTCGGTCTGGGTCTGCTCCATTCTATAGAAATTAGGTCTCTTATTTGCCAAGGAGCTCAGTGCTGCTACTGCGTTATCTGCAGACATCATCAGACCATCTCAACGATCTCCATGATGATGATTGCTTTTTCATGGATGTTGACGACGTCGACGACCGTTTGCGTGGCCTCCGTGAGGGTGAGGTGCATTAGTTTTGGGTCAGTTTAGGGTTCGTCTCGTTTAATCCTCTTTTATCTTCCATTTTTGATGTGTTTGGGGTTTCTTATTGTGTTCCTTTCTCTTGCTTTTTACCTGCCGATGCTGTGTGCGTTTGACCCTTGCACGTGTGCAACGCGATGGGCCCTTTTCAACAAAAAATGCAACAATATACAATCCTGACGGGGGAAGGGTATGCACAATGGTCGTGACTGTGGACGTCCAATTCCACTCCAATCCAGCGTAATTGTGACCTTCCGGAAAGAGGGGATTATAGATGCCATTGTCCACCATCGATTTTTTTTCCTGACATCAGAAAAGGTTATATTATGGCTTAGATAAATTAGAAAAGGGATACATCAAATGGTAAGAGTTTGGTTTCAAATTGCACCCAAAGAAACCAAAGAAAATGAAACCCGAAATGTAAATGTTTCGAAAATCGTATAAATCGTATATGATCTGAGCTTAGGTTTCTCCGTTTTAAAAAGAATTTTGTTTAATGGTGAATTCAAATTATGGATGAAAAGTGTTTAAGAATAGAGTTGCGAAACATAAGGGAGATAGGAAGGACCCGATGTTTCCTTCAAGCTGATAACTCGACATCTCAGATAGTCGATACAGCCATGTCCGTCTGTCCAACTTTTGCCTGTTTATATCGACTTTAACTTGTATAAATGTACTAAATATATGTATTATATTCTGGACGTTGACATGCAATGACTGCATCTAGCAAGAGGCGAATACAATACCACTACAATTACTAATTACTAGAAAGGTGTGTAAGGATTAGTGATTTAATAAGAGGAAGAGAATTAGCGGTGGATATAATATGGTAGAGGGAATTAGCGGAGCATAAAACCCTAAACGGTTCATGCAAGGAATAATTCGATCTACAAAGTGGAAGGAACAACGGTATACAATTTCTAGTAAGTCTAATAGGAATCGTGAAGTTTATGCGGCTCAACAGATCGGGGCTGTCTATGTCACCCCTGATCAAGCTGTCCATAAAAGTCACACCAAGCATTTTTCTACGTTTAACTAAGGATGGGAGGTTTACTAATAGCAGTCTACTAGAGTAAGATGGGAGTCTCACACCTTCATCCCAGTTAAGGCCCCGCAGAGCAAAGAGTAAAAAGTTTTTCTGTACTGATTCTATATGGTCCTGGTGTAATTTGTACTGAGGGCACCATACACAGGAGCCGTATTCTAAGATCGGACGAACAAGCGATGTATAGAGAGTCTTTGTTATATAGGGGTCTTCAAATTCCTTTGACCAACTCTTTATAAACCCAAGCACGCCCATGGCCTTATTTACCATGATAGAAATGTGTTCGGAAAACTTTATCTTTGGCTCTAACATAACACCCAGATCATCCACCAGGGTTATGCTATCAAGGGAACCACCAAATAGGGTTTATCCTTCATATAACAAACATTCTTTGGTAGACATAGGTATAAGCCTTCTTTTTTTGGGTGATTTCGTATAAGATTTTGTAGGTTTTTTATTATTTGCTAAAAGCGTGTGCTCTGAATTCATAGGATTTGGTATGGGTGTATTTGTAATATTTGGCTGTACAGTCCTTTGCCGATTGCCAACTCCAAAAAATGGTTGACATTAACTTTTGTCGTGCCGTGGCTGTTCTGCTTTCTGTCAAGTGTGAAAAATCGCGCTCTATGGGTCAAAGATAAATTTATATAGATTCGGGTCAGGTTGTGCTGGTTCTAAGAATGTCAGGGAAAATGACAAAAAAAAGAGAGCCAGACAGTGGATAATTTTCCTGGCGCCGGCGTCCTGTCGTTCATTGTCCTCCTAACGACTGTAGACGCCTTGCAGATTCCTACCTGTACCCAGCCAAAACCAAAGTGTTACCTGTACCTTCCAATAAACCTGATCGACGGAACTGTCACCTAAGCAGACAATTTTGGGTTGTTGATAATTTTAAATGGCGTGCCACTTCAATTACTAGAGATACAAGGATACAGGCACGAGGTAATCAAAGGAGTGCGCAGAATCTTGTCGAAAATTCGGCCTGCCTCAGTCAACAGTTTAGCCATCGTTATTTATCATTTACCAGATGGAGCAGGAGGAGTAGGAACCACTCAAACCCAGCCCCAGCCCCAGCCCCAGAGCCAACCCCAACCCCCAGATACCAAATGGAAGATAATGCACTCGCACACATTTGTTTGGTTAGTTTGGTTTCGGTTGAGCTCAATTCAAGCATCAGAAATATCGTTTTACAGAGACGGATAACATATCCCATTCGGCTAGTTTTCATGGCTGATTAGTAGAGATTATTGTGGCATGGTAAACACTTGCGCCTCCTCTCCCGATGCGGCACTTGAAACGACTCGCAAGGAGCAGATCTTTAAGGGAGGGACATCAGCGATAGTGGAGTGTCGGACGAAATGCATTTTCGAACACGAGATCGTCTTGCATGTCGAGGCATTAAATTTCAGGAGTCGTGTCAGATACTGCACTTGACAATTAAACACACACAGACTCAGAAACACAACGCCGCAAAATACCAGATGAAATTCGTGTTGTCAAATATAACAGCGTTCCGGACGAGGACTCAAGGCCGGAGCCGGAGCCAGAGTCAGGACCCCAGTGGGTCCTCGTTGAAACTAGATCCCTGCGCCGCCTAAAAGTCGCTTTGTGGAGTCTCAAGTGCTTGAGCCCTAAAGATAATTATTTACGATCCATACTCAATTGAGACTAATGGATTTCCATATCGAGTCTCGACAATTTGTGAAATATCATAGACACCTATTTGTAAAAATCGTAACCATTCGAAAGCCACTCGATGGCGGCCAATCAGCGGTCCATCTTCCAGGCATCGTTAAAAAAAGAGAGATACAAATTTTAACCGACTTTCTGTGGAACATTTTCGGCATAATTTCCATCGATCGTTCTGGCGGTCAATTTCCTTTGTGAACACGTGTGCAAGGGTCTCCTTTGTTTAATTTATTTTCTTGTTTCTTTTTTACTTCTCTGTGCTGGCCCTGCCACTGCCCCTTTCCCTGACCTTCCCCGACCTGCTTGTGTCCCCTGTGGCGATGCATTTTATTGATTTTGGATTTTCGAATCTTTTCTCTGCGGTCCTCTTGCTTTTCGGGGGCGTTCTGGTACATTGTGCCCGGGTACGGGTAAAATGTTGGGCATTTTTTCTGGGGCGTTTTGGGAGTGCAACCCAACAATCATCTACAACCGATATTGTTAAAAGATTGATGGGAGACTTTTTGGTGTAAATTGTTAACACTGTTTTCCCTCTGACTTTGGTGGCCCTTGGATCCTGACTATCTTGGCTAAGGGATAGAAGGGCGGAGCCAAAACTCCTCTCTATACTTCTCCCTGTGTTCCGCTGAAAAAGTGTTTTCTAGTGAGTCCTAAAACATCATTTGATGTGTTGAGCATGTATACTTACGAGCATCTTTCCGAACAAGCCTCTTAGTCGAACAATTTACTAATGAGCCGGGCGATCGATAGGAAGTGACTCGGGACTTTGGGAATAACAAAGAGATGCCGTTGCTGAATCCTATTTAATTGTTCCCTTTTTGATTTCTTATCGATGGTAATAATAAAATACAATCTTAAGGGATCCATCTATGTCATAATGGACTCAGGCTTGGACATCGATATTTTGATAAAAAAGTAGTTCAACGACACTCAAAAAATGAGCAAGAACGCTGAGAGCCGCAGCACTACTACTTCTATAGCTGCACCCAGTCAGTACATATATACATATTTAATATTATGAATAATCGCGATTTTATTTGTTTCCATTTTTACGCTACATCTCAACGTCTCTCCCTTACGTTACCAAAAACAAGTTAGTATTTTGCTGACGAGTCAGTAATAGTAAGTATTGAAGTACGTAATACGATTTGGTTTATTCAAAATTCATTTGTGGAAATATAGCAATAAATTGTATATTTGAAAATAAAAATGGCAGCAAAGTGCAACACTGCAGGCGCAATGCCATGCGACTTGACCCGCGACGTTTGCCAGTTGAAGGGCAAGTACCGCACTACTAATACAATCACAATAAGCACTGTAAGCGAGCAGTTAGATCCCACAGAATCGGTGAGGTCACAGGGCAAGCAGCTTGGGCGGCTGGTCAGGCACATGAAGATGGGGTGCAAAAAGCCGCCAAATCAGAGCACTCTAAAGGGTCTCAATCCCTGCCTGCCTTGCTTCAAGCCTGACTTTCTCTATCATCTGGGCATGGACACGGCCACGACGAACTTCCCCAAGGTCTTTGGCGATGTGCGGGTAAGTCGAATAATGACAAAGTGATCCTTCGGTGGTCATTTCGGTGGAGTGCTCTGAATCCGTAGTTTGTTTGCATGGGTGGTACGCCTGGACGTATGGAGAGATTTGCTTACAGGATTATGAAGGACCTCCGTCTGAAGCTGAGCCCGGTCACTACACTTAGGAATATGGCCGATGGTCATCGCTTTGCGCTCTACAAAGTGGGCCCAGTGCTGTGTGTCAGTCATGGCATGGGGTGTCCGTCGATATCTATACTGCTCCATGAGCTCATCAAGATGATGCACTATGCAAAGTGTCAGAATCCCGTCTTCATCAGAATTGGGACCTGCGGCGGCATCGGAATAGAGCCCGGAACCGTGGTCATCAGCTCGGAGGCACTGGACTGCAAGCTCAATCCCTGTTATGAGGTAATCGTTCAGGGCAAAATCGTGCAGCATTGCAGCAAACTAGACCAGTGTTTGGCCCAAGAACTCCAATCACTGGCGAATCCTTGCGAAGTTGACTTTGAGACAGTTGTTGGTAAGACCATTTGCGCCGACGACTTCTATGAAGGCCAGTCGCGCCTCGATGGTGCCTTCTGCGACTACACGAGTCACTCGAAGACCGCCTATCTTCTCGGCCTGAAGGGTAACGGAGTGGTCAATTTCGATATGGAGAGTACCGCCTTTGCCGCTCTCACAAAGCGGGCCAATATACGCTCTGCCGTCGTCTGCGTTAGCGTCATCGATCGTATGAACGGTGATCAGGTAAGTGAATCTGACATCAACAACTCCTCCCATTCAAAATTAATTCTCTGATGATTCACATTAGATACGTGCATGTCCGAAATCCCTTAGTGTGTGGGAGAAGCGCCCTCAGGAGCTCGTGTCGCGATACATTCGCAAAGTACTCCTGGACGAAGTCAACGAAGCCAAAAAAGTGAAAGACGTTCCTGCCCGCTGCGTGGGAGGAGAATCGGAGATCTGAATTGCGGCGAAGGATTATTTATTTACATACTTTCTCTGGCAATCCCGAGGCTATCTATGGCACATCCAAGTTCTGAGTTCTCTGCCAAAATAAAAACAAAACCTATATGGGCATTGTCTACGCTTCTTCCCTTTCGGTTTTCTCACATCTTCACTTCATGGTATGATATCACAGGTTGGATACAAAATGTGATCTATTTAGTTCCTTTAGTCTTCGAGGTCTAGGCTCTCATCAGAACGGACGGGCGGACAAACGGACATAGCTATATCGACTCGGCGAATTGTTGCTGATAAAGAATATATATGTTTGGATATATATGGACGTTACACACATCCAAATAAATCCCATCAGATCCGAGTATATTTGCATATATTTGTGCAAGTATTTTTTTGATGACTATATCATACGGTATTGCTAAGATAAGAAGGATCGAAATCGGATCACAATAGTTGCAGAGGGTAAAAGCTTCAATGTCCGAGGCCAATGTCTTTATTGTCTCTCGTTAGGATTGAAATATGGAATCAATCCTTGTCGAGCACCCACCTAAATGGCTATTGTAGCAAACAAAAGCCCCTGTAAACCTCATATGAACATGAAATCAGCCTAAAGATTACGCTACGCTGAACGAAATCGTTCTCTTAAGATGCGAGCAAAGGAGAATCGTTTCTCTTGCAGAACAGTAGACATGCGAGGACAAAGGCCGTGGCCTGGCAAGCCGCGCATTTCTGGCCAACAACTCGAGGTAGCACACAAAACACACATCAGACATAAAATGCTTCAAATTTGCTCTTTGTTTTGTCAAAATACCAAATAACATAAGCGACAAGATCTCATTTTCCAATTTCCCAAAAGCGAAATACGAAATAATAGAGTAGAGAGAGAGCAATAGGTCGAGTCACAGGGAAAATTTGAGCAATTTAAAAGATTATCACGTTAGGGATCTGTCTGTCGCAGAGGAGAGGAGGGGAGGGAAGGGGAGGGGAGACACGCAAAATGGAACAAATAGAACTTTGTTTGACTGGCATTGTGTAAACATGGCTCTGGGCTGTGGCTGAGTCCTGGATTCGCATTTGGATTGGGATTCGGTCGAGTAGACAACCGATCATTATTTCTTGTTATTCTTTGGAAATAAGTTGTGAAGAATAGAAACCTTTTTTTCTGCTCGCCGTTCGCTCCCTCTCGCTGTCTATTCGAAATGGTCCAGCACCAAATTAGAGCTCGTTAAAAGGCACACTTTTGTGCGTCAGTATCTGTGTCTCTGTCGGTGTCGGTGTCCCGGGATCAGACGCTAGACACAGAGCCCTACCCTGCCCTGCCCTACCCAGAGTCGAGACAGCGGATTACCCTTACCCCCGCCTGGGTCCCATCCGAGCCCAGATCACGTTTCAACAGTTTCTACTGCAGGGGCTGAGCATCCAGGCAGTCAGCATTCAGCTCTGTTGTCGGGGCTATTAATAAGCCTGGCGGTTGGTGGCTGGTGACAACACGTGAAACTCCATGACGTCTCACTGGGCACTGTGATGTTGGCCAAACCTTCCTCCAACCTTCCTCCGGCCCAACAATGAACAGTCCTGGCAAACACGGCCAATTTCCCAAAAACGTGTTTACAAATATTTTCAAAAGCGGGCCAAACAATGCGACCGCCTTAGGGGGATTCTCTGGCCCTATTGTTTGTATTTTGCATGACTTTTCTTTTAACCATATCCATATATATATATATACATATGTCTAACTGCATGTATACCCATGCTGCCCTGGATGGCTGTTGTTCTTTTTTAAATGTTTTGTCTTTCGAATCTATAGCTGCGTGTATCTATATCCCCATCAAAGTGTCAATTTGTTGCATCTCTTGTCCTTTTTTTTTTGGTGGTCGATTTCCTCTATGATTGAGCAGTAAGCGCTATCCATAAATTGGTATGTTCCTATATTTCTCTATTAACATTATTATTTGGGTTCTTCGAAGTAAGTAAAGTGGGGAAGAAGAAATCGATTTCGTTCTCCACTGTTTCCAATCTTATTTAGGAGGCTTTATGTTGGTCCATTAAATCTCTTTTTTCTTCATCAAGAATACAATTATTGGGCGTCCCTGTTTTGCACAATATTGTATGTGTCGTCCCATTTCTCCTAGTCAGTTTCTAGGTCTTTTTCATTCCAAGGATTCATTCCATGTCCAATTCGACCCATGAGCTATAAAGCCAAAAGGAAGCTTTTCTGAACCCATAGAGCATGTAAATATACAGAAATGACTGTGTGTTTGTGCGTCTGTCTGTCCTGATGAGCGCTTAGGTCTCATGGAATCATAAGAGCTAGATCCACGAAACAACAACGGGCAAGTACTAAGGGGAATCTGATAGGACAATGATGTCTCATCACGGATTGACAAATAAAATGAGAATAATCTATAGGTATACATACATACACATCTATACGTAAGTATATGGTGAATAGTTTCGTTTTCCGTCGTTTTCGCAGGACCTAAACTGTCGAATGTCACTAAGGAGTGCATTTTTATTCAACAGGTGGGCGAAGATGCTATTTGACCCTATAATATGAGAATGATTTACGTTTATAGTTCAAAAATCTGTTGGATGCTGGGAGAATCGAATGATACGCATAGTTTAATAGCTATGTTGGAAGATGTATTGGCAGAATGTTGAGAGGGAGCAGACTACTTTGAGTCTTGGAATCTTGGCTATTGCAGACTGATCTGTGATCTTTTTGCGATCCTTTCTTCAACAGATGGATGAAATATGGTCCCCCGCATGATCTCTATGGCTGTAGTTATTTTCTTTCAAAACATATTTCCTCTAAACTTATCTATGGATTCTACATATATGCCGAAGATAATCGCAGCCATTTTGCATGCCTAAACAATGCTTAATCCTTGGTAAATTACTCCTTCCCTAGGACCTTATCTAGGGATATTATCGGGAATTTGTTGAATACTCGCATATCGGCTGTGTTATTTCAATTTTGCCTAAAAAAACACATCCACATGCGGACGACGGACAATCCCTTTAGATGGAGTGCCATTGATAACAAATTTCATACGTAAAGATTACTTAAAAGGAGCTCAGTGCGTAAAAATGTTATTGTAGGATTATGCTTCCTGTTTCTTTGAAACTCGCTCAACACAAACAACCCATACATACTCGTACTCCTACTCCTACTCGTACATATATCTATAACTGTCAGTGACAAAAGAGCGGATCAATAGGACTAGGAATAGAATTGGAAATGGAATTGGAATGCATGCGAGGCCCATCCATTGTGCATATGTGTGTATGTGGGTTGGGTTTCCATGGTCAACCGCTATGTTGGCTTGCCACGGTAGTCGGGTCGGATTTGGGTTTGGGTTCGGGTTTGGGTTTGTGTGTGAGGGAGCGACTTCTTCTTTTCTTAATTCTTCCGTTCTGGCCTCTAGGCGTTCGGGAGGCGACATGTAGGTAAACAAAGACTGACACAGTCGCATATACATATGCATACATGTGTGTGTGGGAGTTGGAGGCTTCTTGCCATCGGTGATTAGCTCTTTTGTTGGTATCGTCTTCCACCTCCACGGCATTGTTGATGTCTATATGGGCTCAAAGTGCACAATGTCCGTACGAGATACTTGCCTTCTCTAGTAGCAATTGAGTTCAAACAAGGAGAGTATCTTTCAATCTGCTTACTGGCGATTCCATCTAATCTAGTATCATAGGGAATTGAATTCTTGTGATTTAATCGGAATTCGCATATATGTACATATGTGTACTTCACCGACTTAAATAGTTTCGTTTTGGGACATGAAACAAGATGGAAATATTATGAATGGAAAAAGTCGCAGACCTTTCATATTTCGGGCTCCATCTTTTAAAATTGTAATCCAAAAACCATTATTAACTATTAACTAACTATTAAATATTTTGTTTCCGTTGACTTTGGTTTTTTTTCCTGTTGCTTGGTCCCCAGATTATATTAGATAATCTAGGTCTCATCAATTAATAACAAGCGTAATTTAAAAGATATTTATATGAAATTTTTAGTTTAACATGATTGTTAATTACCGGATAACTGTACAAAATTTCAATAGAATCGGTCAACTATATCAAATAGATACAATAGTTCCGATCCTTCCAAATATTTAAAGATTTTGAAATACCATTCCAAAGATAGTTTACCAGTGTAACTTATGTATGTAACTTTAAATTTATTAAAATGCAAATATCTGAACTATATTCTTCAAAGTTGACATCTAATAATAATCTTGAACTTCTTTATCCAACAATATATTTTCTTCGGAAAGCCTTGAAGACGAATTTGAATTTAAAGGATCAGATTTAAAGAGAAGAGCATGCAAATCTTTCGGGTTTGAGCACTTTACTTTTGCGTTTCTCAATAAATCGTAGCTTGGAAAAATATTTGCGTTGTAAGATATAGTTTTCCATTTCACAACCTTGTATGCATTTTTGGTAAATCGCCGAAATACATACATTAATCGCCAAGGCTACCTCAGGACTGAATTTAATAAGAAGTTTGGGATCATTTTATTTTATTTTTTTTGCTATATGATATAACTTTCTAAGCATTTCTCTCCCCACCTTTGTACAAGCTTTGTACGATGCATCTTCGTTAAAACCCATCAGATTAGGGTTGCGCAAGGAAGCCATTCCAAAGATTCAACGATTTTGTTTATTATCCGCTACGCTATGGCCCATTTCCTGATTTTGTTTGGCATAAGGTAATAGATACGATTAGATAAGAAGAAACTCAAAATGAATTCAAAATAATATTAAAGTCGACTGATTGAATGCAAAATTTACTCAATTGTGCCGGTTTTTACCGGTCTTCGAAAGAAACCAATTTATACACATAAAATCCCTATATATGCAGCTATTCTAACATAAAGGCAAAAGTTACTTTAAAAAGGAATACAAAATCTGAAAACTCTAGCTTTAAAATTGCCAAATAATCGGGCATTTTGGCCATAGTGCACTGCCATCAAAAGCGTCAATACTCTTTCTGATATTGTTTTCAGTTTCATTTCGTCGAAATCGAACACAC